TCGAGTTTGGACTCATTTTAAAGCATTTTTAATTTTGTTTTTGATTTTATATGAATTAATTCTTTTTGAAAATATTTATAAAATCAAAAATCCATTTTAATTGATGATAACATCAAATTCGTAATCTATATTAAAATCCCTTTAATTTGATACCAAACACGCCATATTTACAACAAAAAATAATTAAAAGTTAGGTTAAAACCAACAAAGACGTCCGCCATCTTGAATTTTTTTAAGATAATAATTAATTGTATTTCGGTTAATTTTTGAGATAACCCCATCGAGTTTGGACTCATTTTAAAGCATTTTTAATTATCTTTATGATTCTAAAAGTTGTTTAAAAAAAATTCGATTTTTTAAAAATTATGTTATATGTTATAATAATTTTTAATTAAAATAACTTTTTAAATTAATTCTTACCAACAAAGTACCCCAAATTTTGTAATTCCAAAACTAACTGTTGTTTTTGATCGCTACTCATCCGAGCAAAAACCGTTCCTTGAAGCGCAACTTTTTGAACTTGACTGGGAAAGTATCGTTTTAAACATTCCCAATTTTGCCCCGTTATCGTTAAATTAACGGGTAAATCGATATCTTTGCTCTAAAACAAAAATTTAAATAAATCAATTTATTATAAAATCAAATAATTTAATCTTACATGATTTTCTTGAAAATGCAAATTTAACTCAACATCTTTTTCGACATTTCTAACCTCAACATTCGCAACTTTCGAATTTTTCGCAATAATCCCGCATTCTTTAGCAACACTAATCGCGGTTTCAACATTATCTCCGGTAATCATAACCACCTTAACATCAGCATCTTTTAAGATCCCAATCATTTTCGCACTTTCCGGTTTTAACTTATTCTCGAATATCAACAATCCAATAAAATCTAATTGAGATTCAACGAAATTTCGCGCAAATTTCTCCTTTTCCCCGTTTAAGTGTTTCATTCCAACCCCCAAAACTCGGTATCCTTTCTCCGTGTATTCTTTTAAAACGTTTTGGGTCATCTCCGGGATCGATTTTTGATTCGAAAGGGTTAAAATCATCTCGGGGGAACCTTTACAATAAACGGTTTCTAATTTTGTTGAGATGTCTTGAGTGATGACGCTCATTCTTTGTAAGTTTGAGGAGAATTGGTTTTGGTGGATGTTTTTTAAGTTTGATTTTTCGTTAATTATTAAATTGGATTGGGTTAATTTGAAATTGGTCGATTCGAACATCTAAAATTAAGTTATTAATCGACTTAATTAAATTAATTTCGTTATTACTTTTATGTCGAGGGGATCCCCGGAAAGTTTCTCATCGATTATCGTTAAAGAGTGGCAACATCCCATCGCTTTTAATAAATCGGAGTCGTGATGAAGCGATTTTGGGTTATTCACCACGTTTTTTTGGATATTGTCTTTGGGGATTACCCCGAATAAATCTAAACCATCCTCAGTTAAAGTCCCTGTCTAAAAATTGACTCTTAAATTAAAGGAATTAATTGATTTAAAACGAACCTTATCGAAACAAACGCAATTAATCGCTCCGGAAATGTTGATGACCCTCGAATTCATACAAAAAATGTTTTTCGCTTTCAATCGATTCAACGCGTAAAGCTTCCCTATCGTTAAAGCTGCGGGTAAAGCTGGCGGAATCGTAATGGTGATAATATCCAAAGCTTTTATGATGGTGTCCCACGCGGCTAAATTCCGCGAGCTTTTCGAAACGATCGTATAAACGAACCCCAAAACGGCGATTATCGCCAAAATCCCGATATACTTATAACTATCCCTTTCAAATTTAAAATCAACCGGAGGGGGGTACAAAATGCTTTTAACCAATTCCCCCTTAGACGTTAAAAACCCCGTTCTTATCACAACCGCTTTCACAACATCATCATTTCCATCTAAATTAGTATTAATCACAGCTTGGATGATACTCGTCCCCGAATACAAAGTATGATTACAATCCTCCTTTTCGTTATAAAGATTATTTGAGTCCTCGATCCTGGTTTTTAAAACGGGAACGGATTCCCCGGTTAAAGTCGATTCGTTAACGACGCAATTTCCGTTTAATAAGACGGCATCGCAATGCAATGTGCACCCGTTTTTGGGAATCACGAGGATATCGCCGGGAACTAAATCGATCGAGTCGATTTTAACGATTAAATTATTTAATAAAATTTCGACGTGATCCGTTTTGTCGACGGTTCCTCGCAGATTGTGCTGGTTCTTTCGCGTTTGGATGATCGACGATGAGATGCCGTACATTGACATTAAAATGATGGCGATTGTGTAATAATAGTATTGCTCGGCGAACCACACGATCAAACTGAATACTTGGAATATGTAGAAGGGGGTTAAAGCTTCGAGGATGAATAGTTTAAATATGCTTTGTAATGGGACTTCTATGGCGTTTTTTCCGTAAATTATTGATCTAAAAATTAAAAAGAATTAATTATTATAGAATCTCAATAAGAATCAAAAATGCTTTCATTTGATACCAAACTCGGTATATTTGGGTTAAAAAATAAAAAAGTTAGGTTAAAAACTGTCAAATGTCAAAGTTAAATATGATTTTTTGGTAAATATTGAAATTATCTTAATAAGAATCAAAAATGCTGCAATTTGATACCAAACATGATATGGTTCGGTTAAAAAATGAAAAAGTTAGGTTAGAAATTGTCAAATGTCAAAATTAAATATGATTTTTTGGTAAATATTGAAATTATCTTAATAAGAATCAAAAATGCTGCAATTTGATATCCAACATGATATGGTTCGGTTAAAAAATGAAAAAGTTAGGTTAGAAACTGTCAAATGTCAAAATTAAACGTTACGATTTTTTGATAAATGTTGAAATGATGTTAATAAGAATCAAAAATGCTTTAATTTGATACCAAACACGATATATTTGGGTTCAAAAATAAAAAAGTTAGGTTATAACTGTTAAATGTCAAATAACCGCCATTTTTTTTTTGTAAAAATTAAGATATCGCAATAACGGTTAAAGATAAATAAGTCGAGTTTGGGTTCATTTTAAAGCATTTTTAATTTTCTGTCCATTTATGTTAAAAAAAGAATACCTTTATAACCAAAAAAATTTTTTTTTCGTAATAAAATCGTTATATTTAATTTTGACATTTGCAGTTCCTAACACAACTTTTTTATACTCGGAGTCAAAGACATAACAGGTGACATATTAATATTTGATGACATATTATATATTTGGGTTAAAAAATAAAAAAGTTAGGTTAGAATCTGTCAAATGTCAAAATTAAATAAAACGATTTTTTGATAAATATTGAAATAATCTCAATAAGAATCAAAAATGCTTTAATTTGATACCAAACATGATATGTTTGGGTTAAAAAATAAAAAAGTTAGGTTAAAAACTGTCAAATGTCAAAATTAAATATAACGATTTATTGATAAATATTGAAGTAATCGCAATAAGGATCAAGAATACTTTCATTTGATACCAAATGCGATATATTTGGGTTAAAAAATAAAAAAGTTAGGTTATAAACTGTCAAATGTCAAATAATCGCCATTTTTTTTGCTAAAAATAAGATATCTCGATAACGGTTGGAGATAAATAGGTCGAGTTTGGGTTCATTTTAAAGGATTTTCAATTTTCTGTCCATTTATGTTAAAAAAAGAATAATTTTATAACCAAAAAAATTTTTTTTGTGATAAAATCGTTAGATTTAATTTTGACATTTGACAGTTTCTAACAACTTTTTTATACGCGGAATAAAAGACATGACATTAGGTGGTGACATATTAAAACGTCATTATGCTTATATTTGTCATATTTCTAATTTGACAATTGACATTTGTGAGGTGACACATTCAATGTAATTTTTATTTAACTTATTTTTTTACATTCTTGAACATGTAAGATTCATTTGATACCAAATATTATACCCTTGCGTTAAAAAGTAAAATAATTGGTTAATAACTGTCAAATGTCAAAATTAAATGTAACGATTTTTTGATAAATATTGAAATGATTTCAATAAGAATCAAAAATGCCTTCTTTTGATACCATGCATGGTATATTTGGGTTGAAAAATAAAAAGTTAGGTTAGAAACTGTCAAATGTCAAAATTAAATGTATCGATTTTTTGATAAGTATTGAAATGATCTTGATAAGAATCAAAAATTCTTTAATTTGATACCAAACGATATATTTGGGTTAAAAAATAAAAAAAATTAGGTTAGAAACTGTCAAATGTCAAAATTAAATATAACGATTTTTTGATAAATATTAAAATGAACTCAATAAGAATCAAAAATGCTTTAGTTTGACACCAAACACGGTATATTTTTGTTAAAAAATAAAAAAGTTAGGTTATAACTTAAATGTCAAATAACCGTCATTTTTTTTTGGTAAAAATTAAGATATCTCGATATCGGTTGGAGATAAATAGATCGAGTTTGGGTTCATTTTAAAGCATTTTTAACTTTCTGTCCATTTATGTTAAAAAAAGAATACTTTTATGACCAAAAAATTTTTTTTTCGTTATAAAATCGTTATATTTAATTTTGACATTTGACAGTTTCTAACAACTTTTTTATACACGAAATCAAAGACATGACATATTGGTGGTGACATATTAAAACATCATTGCGCTTATATTTGTCATATTTCTAATTTGACAAGTGACATTTGTGAGGTGACACATTTAATGTAATTTTTATTTAACATATTTTATACATTCTTGAGATAACATGTGAGATTCATTTGATACCAAACATCATACCCTTGCGTTAAAAAGTAAAATAATTGGTTAATAACTGTCAAATGTCAAAATTAAATGTAACGATTTTTTGATAAATATTGAAATGATCTCAATAAGAATCAAAAATGCTTTCTTTTGATACTAAAGATGATATGTTTGGGTTAAAAAATGAAAAAGTTAGGTTAGAAACTGTCGAATGTCAAAATTAAACGTAACGATTTTTTGATAAATGTTGAAATGATGTTAATAAGAATCAAAAATGCTTTAATTTGATACCAAACACGATATATTTGGGTTCAAAAATAAAAA